AAGCACCATCCTCATGATCTCTATTATGCTCAAACTCACTGTGGAACAGACTCAACAGTAGTGAATTTGTTTATTTGGTTTATTGATCGGTTAATTTTAATGTCAAAGGACATGATGATCATTAAAGTTCCAACTTTCAGTTTATGAACTTCCTTTCTTACAGTCTGGCATATAAAATGTTAAGTGCTAATCTAAGGTTAGAGAGCTCTGGCGGTGAGTGGGTAAGGAGCTGCACAGCCAACCCGAAAACATGCAATTGATATCCACCAGCTGCTCTGAGAAAAACGAGCAATCTCCTGCACTATTTATAACCTTTGAAAACTCTCTGGAGAGTTAGCTGAGTTAGTTCCAACTCAATGGCACATAACAACAACAATCTAACATAGTATTTTTCTGTCTAACTTTCCATACTATTTAAAACCAGCTGTTGCACTAATCTTATGGAGATTCATGCAGTGGTAGTGTCTAAAAAGCATAGACATATCTATGTTCCATCTAGTTCTGACAATTGTATGATTTAAAACAAGATGGGGAGCTCTGTTGGTGTAGTCAGTAGGGAGATGTGTTGCTAATCCAAAGGTGATGCTAATCCAAAGGTGGTTCCTCTCTGGTGGTTCAAACTGACCAGTGGCTCCATGGAAGAAAGATGGACAATCTCCTCCAGCACAGTTTATAGCCTATGAAATCTTGCTAAAGCGTCAGCTATGAGTCAGTTCTGACTCTATGATAATGAATTTTAGCTTTTTTGATTATGAGAGCTCTGGTGGAATAGGCAGAAAGGAATTGTGTTGCTAAACCAAAGGTCACACTTCTCTGGCAGTTCGAATCCTGCAGAGGCTCTGAGAGAGAATGATTGGAAGTCTCCTCTTATTAGATTTACAGCCTCAGAAACCTGCCGGAGGATAACCTATGAGTTTATTCCAAATGGATGGCAGTAACTTCAAGGTTTTTTGTTACTGTTGTTTATCTAAAATTTCTAATTTTAAACTTCCTCATCTATAGATTTATGTACTTATATCTTTCTTGTCAAATAGGTGAAGAATTACTAATTCCTGCCAAACAACCAATTTATATAGTAAAGCCAAATGATGACTAAAACACATCTCGGTGCCAATTTGAAGTAATTGGCACATGTTTCAAAAGACCACAAAGTCTTTTGAAATTGGACCAACACGTTATTCATCTTTGAGAAGCCAGCATTCAGACCAGTGCCAAGAATTGAGAGGATCCTTAATAATGTTTGCTAAATAAACATAGGAAGCTCTGGTGCCCTAGTGGTGAAAAGCTGCACTACAAACCCAAAGACAGAGTTCAAATCCACTACCAGCTCTGCAGGAGGAGGATGGGAAATCTCCTTCCATGCAATTAACTGCCTCTGAAAACCTGCTGGAGAGTCAGCTACGGGTCAGTTCTGACTTGTTGATACACAAAAATAACTACAAATAATTACATAACCTAGGTGCTCTTGAAACATGCCAATCAGTTTGTCATCAATACCCGGGGCCTTGCTTTTTGCCAATTCTTTCAGAGCAGCTTGAATTTCTTCCTTCATCACCACAGGCTCTTGCTCATACATTGTTTCATGAAATCCTTCTATGTCCACCAATTCCTTTTGGTACAATGACTTTGTATACTTTTTCCATCTTCTTTTAATGCTTTCTGGATTATTTAATATTTTACCCAAGCATCTTTAAGTATTGCAACTCGAGGTTTGAATTTGTTCTTCAGTTCCTTCAGCTTAAGAAATGCTGAGTGAGTTTGGTCCTTTTGATTTTCTGACTCCAACACCTTGCACATTTCATTGTAATACTTTACTTCGTCTTCCCGCACTGCCCTCTAGAATCTTCTGTTCAATTCCTTAATATCTTGATTTCTTCCCTTTGCTTTGGCTTTTCGGCATTCCAGTACAATATTTACAGTTTCTTCCAACATCCAATTTGGGCTTTTCTTCCTCCTCTATATTTGTAATGACCTTTTGCATTCTTCCTGGGTGATATTCTTGATATCCTACCACAGCTCGTCTGGTCTTTGCTCATTAATGCCTCAAACCAGTTCATGAGACAGTTTTGAAATTCATATGGATAGACTCAAGGTCAAATTTTGGGTCATGTGGACGGGATTTAATTTTCCTCAACAACCAGCACCTGGCCTAGTTTTCACAGCTGATACTGAGCTTCTCCAACGATTCTTTCCACAGATGTAATAGATCAGATTACATGCATACCATCAGATGAAATCTATGTGTACAGTCTGTATTTATTCCCTGGATATGCTCACCAAATCGTGCCAAGAAGTCCAGGGGACAACTACCTGGTCAACTCACTGGAAGAGATCCATATTTGTTCCCATTCCAAAGAAAGGGGCTCCAACAGAGTGTGGAAATTATCGAAGAGTATCAATTATATCACATGCAAACAAGATTCTGCTGAAGATTATCCAAAAACGACTGGAACACCACATCAACAGAGAACGGCCTGAAGCACAGGCTGGATTTAGAAGAGGCCGTGGCACTAGGGATACTATAGCTAATGTCAGATGGATCTTGGCTGAAAGCAGAGAGTTCCAGAGGGATATCTATCAGTATTTCCTTGATCATGCAAAGGCATTTGACTGTGTGGATCACAACAAACTGTGGCTGACTCTGAGAAGAATGGGAATCCCAGAAAACTTGATCGTGCTTATGTGAAACCTATACTTGGAGTCGTCAGAACAAAGCAAGGAAACACTGCATGGTTCAAAATTGGGAAGGGTGTGTGTCAAGGATGTGTCCTATCTCCATATCTTTTCAATCTATATGCAGAACAGATTATCCAGGTGGCTGGGCTCTATGAGGAGAAGTGTGACATCAGGATTGGAGGTTAGACTCATCAACAATCCGCATGATGCAGATGGCACAACCCTGCTTGCTGAAACTGAGGAGGATCTGAAGTGCATGCTGCAGAACATCAAGGAATTCAGCCTTCAATATGGATTGAAGCTCAACATGCAGAAAACAAAGATCCTCACTACTGGGCTGATTGGCAGCATCATGCCAGATGGTCAAGAGATTGAGATAGTTGACAGATTCCGTTTGCTTAGCTTTACAATCAACACCCTTGGTACCAGCAGCCAGGAAATTAAAAGGCAAATTGCACTGGGAAAGTCTGCTGTCAAAGACCTTTCCAAAGTTCTGAAGAGCAATTATGTCCATCTAGAGACTAAGGTGCACTTGATACAGGCCATGGTAATTGCAATTACTTGTTATGCATCAGAGAGCTGGACAATGACTAGGGATGATAGTAGGAGAGTTGATACCTTTGAGCTTTGGTGCTGGAGAAGAGTATTAAATATACCATGGACTGCTAGGAAAACACAAACAGGTTCATCCTGGACAGGGTGAAGCCAAGGCTGCTCCTTAGAAGCAAATATTATGAAGCTTCATCTGACATACTTTGGACATGTTCCAAGGAGGGGCCAGTCCTTGGAGAGGGATGTCACGCTTGGGAGGGTGAAGGGACAGCTCAGGAGAGGAAGACCGTCGATGAGATAGATTGATCCGGTCACTGGTGTAATGGGGATAGGTGTGTCAGAGACAATAAGATTGGCAAGGGACAGAGCAGGATTTAGGGCTATTGTACATAGGGTCGCTATGAGTTGCAGGTGACTTGATGGCACATAACAACAACAAAAAGATGCCCTTGGTGGTAGGCTTGTTTTTCCACAGGAGATCTGCATGATCTACTTCAAGAAGCTTCCGTTTACTAGTGGGTAATTCAATAGCCACAACTTCAAGATAAACAGCAATCAGCCAGGAGGCCATTTTAGTAGTTCAGGTAGAGAAAAATAGTTACACAGTCAATGTGGATCTTAACAAGTTTAAAGGGATGAGGAAGAAGGAAGCAATGGATTAAAGCCAGGAAACAGGGAAAAGATTTATTTTAACATTGTAATCATCGAACAATCACACATCTGTGGAGGAGTATTAGTCACCTGTACAAAAGGAACGTATACTATGAGTCATGCTAGCCTTTATGAGTCTTAGTCAGGTCTGCATTTCAGTGAGCTGACACTTGACTTACAATGTTTACAATCTCATGGCTTGTCCTTTCAAGTTATTGTAGCATTTCAGCTTGAAATAGGAAAGAAACCATCTATTAAGTAAAAGCATACGTAAAGTTTGAAAAGATAAAAAGAAATGTTTGAAAATACTCTGAAAGGAGAAATATTTTTTAAAGCTAAAGTGAGCCTATTAAGACATGGAATTTTGAAGTGTAGATTTGTATTTGTTTCAAGTATTTGTTAAAGAAATATCTATGATGAATCATTTTGATAAATGACATTTAGGATATGTGATTCCTATCTAATTCAAAGTCATTATAACTCTGCCTATAATAGTACATTGACAGAGAACTTTCGGAAGTTCAAGCTGGATTTTGAAGAGGACATGACACTAGGGATATCATTGTTGATGTCAGATGGATCTTGATTAAAAGCATTTAATAACAGAAGAATGTTTATCTGTGTTTTATTGACTATGAAAATGCATTTGACTATGTGGATCATACAAAGGTATGGCTAATATTAAGAAAAATGGGAATTCCAGAAAATTTACTTATGTTTATATGAAATGTACACCTAGAACAATAAGCTGTCCAAACAGAGCAAGGTTTAAAATAGGGCTGTATCCTTTTCCTCTACCTATTCAATCAGTAAGCAAATCTTTCGAGAGGCTGAAGAAGAATGTGACATCAGGATTTGGAGGAAGAGTCATCCATATGCAAATGATACAACTCTGCTTGCTCAATGTGAGCTGAACCTGAAGCACTTACTGCAGAAGATCAACGACTACAGCCCTCAATATAGGTTACATCTCTACATCAAGAAAACAAAAATTTTAACCAATGGGCCAATAGGCAATGTCATAATAGATGGGAAAAGGAGTCGCTCTGTGGTCGTGGTAGAGGGTAGACCGGCTTGTTCTGAGTTGTGCAGACTAAGGTCCAGGCCGAGGAGAAGGAGCCATGGCTGACCAGGAAGGTGCACGCGATGGCTATGACCCGGAGGGGCCTGGCGGCGCGGACAACGCAGGCGAGGCGGCCCAGGCGGGCTCTGCTGCAAGTGACGCACCCCAGGCCAACCAGGCCTCAGAGCTTGGTGCACTCAGAGCACTGCAGCCGCCACCGCTCTTCCAATTCACCTTCATCGTGCCTTTCTTGCTCACAGTGGAGGCTGAGATCGGCTGGCGTTTCCTGCTCATGAACGCGCACCGGGTGGGGCCAGCCCACAGGCAGCTCCAAGTGACCGGAACCATCCTCACTGTCCGTCTGTCCGCTGAAAACGCCATGCAACTCCAGACCTCCATCATAGCCTGTGTCGACCTGCTCTCCGAGGTGGTGCGGGCCATGCAGCACTGCTGCATGCCTCCAGGTTTTTCTATGCCCCAGAAAAGAAGAAGGAGCTGAGGCCTCAGCCGTGTCCCCCAAAGCTTGGCGTCCTTCCCTGGGCTTGGAGTCCTGCTGTAGCTGCCCCTTCACAATGGGGGCCGATTTCTTGTCTGTACTAAAAGGGCGTTTGGGGCCCACTGGAATTCTTGGTCGTTTAAACGTTTGTTACTGCAGAAAATAAAACTTGAGACTTCATTCTAAAAAAAAAAAAATAGATGGGAAAAGACTGAAATTGTCAGATTTCATCTTATATGGATCCAAAATCAACATCCATTGTACCAGTAGTCAGGAGATCAGAAGACATATTGTGTAAAAACCAAGATGCACCTGATCCAAGCCATAGTCTCTCTAATCATCTGCTATGCATCTGACAGCACAGCAATGAATAAGGATGATGAAAGAAGAACCAGTGCCTTTGAGTCGTGGTGTTGGGATAGAGTAGTGAATGAATTGGATTGCCAGAAGAATAAACAGATATATCATGGAGAAAACACAGTAAGAGTGCTTCTCATTGGCAAGGATGGTGAAACTTCATCTCACATACTTTGGGAATGTTGTTAGCAGGGGCTATTCCTAGGGAAAAAACATCATACTTGAGAAGGTGGAGGGTCAGCGAAGGAGAGGAAGACTTTCAATGAGATGGATTGACAACAGTGCCTACAGAAATGAGCTCAAGTGTGTGGAGACAGTGAGGATGGTGCAGGATAGGAAAGAGTTCAGATCTATTGTTCACAGGGTCACTGTGAGTCCTATTTAACTCAACAGCACATAACAACAACAACAAAAAAGGCACACAGTTCTCATCCTTCAGTTGCTCTTCAGGAGAAAGATGGACAGTCTCCTCTCATGTGATTTATAGTCTCTGAAAATCCACTATGCATTGGTTAGTTCTGACTCTATAGTATACAAGATAGCTCTAAGGTTTAATACAAAATATTAAAAAGATTATTTTATGCTCTAGCCTATATACTTGATATTGAGTTCCTGGATTGTACAAAGGGTTAATTGGCTCAGCTTCTAACTTAAAAGTTCAAATCTATCCAGAGGCCCCTCAGAAGTAAGGTCTGGTATTCTGCTTTTTAAAAATCTGTCACTGAAACTTCAGTGGAGCACAATTATACTCTGAAGGACCTGGGTGAGGTCACCAGGAATCAAAATTAATTCAACAAAACTTTCTGCGTGTTTACTGTATTTCTCAGTGGTATTTTTATTCCTACTTTATATGAAGATAACAGAAATGGCAAAGGAGGTTGAGTTTTCACGTATGGAAATACAAAGGAAGAGGAACAGTTGTAAGCAGACACTGGTGACTGGGACATGGAATGAGAGAACCATGAATGTAGGAAAATTAGATATTGTTAAGGAAGAAATGGAACGCATAAATATTGACATACTAGGCATTGGTGAGATGAGATGGACTGGCATGGGGCATTTTGAGTC